TGGTGTTGCATTTGCATAATAATTGGATAAATCAATGTTATTAAGGTAGAAACCTGAGCTAACAATACAAGGATAAGATAAAAGAGGAAACACTTTTCAGTGATAGATTGCCCATCAATTATGCATTTCTGTTTGACTGACAGAACTGTTCAGCTGCCAACAGGAAATTATTATAAAATCACTTCCTCCTGCAAAGATTTTTTCAGCCCTTTGCAGTTTTGTTATGCTGCTGTTTCTTTGACAGCCCATTCTAGCTTTTTCTCCTGCCTGTCAACCCTGAGGAAAGGTAAACACAATCAGTGTAGTTTTTTGATGCTGTGGCTGCAAGCAGCAGGGGAGGCCAGACAGTCCTGCAATCTGCTGCAGAAAAGTTAAACCCTCAAGACCTAAACACAATCACAGTGAGATAGATAGAACTGAGAGGGCGAGCCATACCGCTGCCACTGCAACACCTGGCAGCTATACCAGTTACATGTCCCAAACACAAAGTCACAAAGTTGTACAGCAGGAACTAACTGGGATGGCAATGGGGTAACTTCTGCCACAGTTGTACTATGTGATAGTTGATGTATGTATCATGATGTATCATCATTGTGGATGTCATTATGAGAAATGTTTTGCTTTTGTTTCCAGAGGCCATTAAAGTTGTTGATGACGATGTTGATGGAAATGTGTCTGACTATTAACTTCGTTTAAAAGGCTGGCAATTTACCCTTAGCACTTCATCATGCAAAATAGTATTTATTTTTATGACTTATTAATCTATTTTATTTTGTTTTATGAGCAGCATAAATGGAACTTTAATCTGAATTTCATTATACAGTACAAAACTGAGTTGTAAATAAAAAAACTTTTTGAATCCTTGAGTATTTTCATCCCAGGTAGCTCTCTAGGTTCATGCTGGACTCACAAACTTACAAAAGTGAAAAAATGATGATGGTATTAGCTTTATCTGGGTACCTTACGCAGAGCTGGTTGGCCCTATACACTCAAACTGTGCAGGGTCCAATAAATTATGCCAAGGCACCGAATCTCCCTTGTATCAAAGCGGATGTCAGTGTTTACATCTTCAGTGAGAGGATGAAGCAGAAATATCTTCCTGTTCACGAAAAAGTGAAAAAATGAGTTTTTCCTTGCCACTGTTGCCAAGTGCTTGTGAAGACAGTTGCCTTTAAAATTTGAGTTTTCTTCACTTTTTATTTAAAGTGCTTGATAAGCACTTTCTACAATATCTTATTTATGTTAATGTTAATATTCACTTATCTTAAGATTCTATGGACAATATTGTATTCAATAAATAAATAAATATATAAATAAATTGTGTTTGTGGTGTGACTGTGTGGCAATTGGAAATGGTTTACATGGCTCACGGGTCAGAAAGGAGGGTCCCTTGGCAGAATTTTGCTTAGGACCCCAGGTAGGTCAGGAATGGCTCTGACCTTAAGTGATTTAGAAATGATCTGTGTTTCATGCAACACATTCATGCAGGATTAACAATGTACCTTTCACTGACCAAATCTCAGGATTACCTCCACAATATATATTTATAACAATACCCCTGGCTGAAAATGATTTTATTAAGCCTGTTGAAAGATGTCCTTATCAAATATGTAGGGGATAATTCCTGACAAGGTGTCCATTATCCGGAACCCTGCAACGCACGGCAGAGGTCTCAAAGAGCTGTATAAGTACATTATTTTCATGCCATTCAGTGTGAGGAGTAAGCAGCAACCATATTAGTTAGAGAAACGTTTTTGACGCCTGTGATCAAATTTTATTGAAATGAATGGGGTGGGTGGATACCAATGCGTTTACCTCGTACTTGCGTAGTTCAGTGCCTTCGGAGAAATTCCTGGCCCACGTCAGCATGGAGTGAGGTGAAATGGTACTGAAGGATTAAAGCTTAAAATGCGACAGTGGATTCTGGCATATCAAGCAGAAGGGTTTCCCATTCAGTTCAGCAAAAATCCTCCCATTCAGATAAAAAATGTCCTACGCTAATCTTCATATTTGCCATGGCGAGTCAGTCAGTCGCCTATAGTCTGGTAGATTTTCCAACAAATATCTGGAAAAGAGCGAGTATGTTTACATAGGCTGCTGGTAGCAAAGGTGTGATATGGCTTGAGTTACAAATTTGATGATTTTACTTGATAAAAAAGACTTGACTTGGACTTGAGCCTTTTCACTTGAAAATACTTGATACCTAAAGTATTTAGGTATCAAAAACAATGACTTGGTCCAACGTCTGACTAATAGGTGACGTGCATGACTTGCAGGTTCCTTGATCCCAATGCAATAATTCAATTTACATTTATTATATATATTTTTAAAAATGTAAATTGTAAATAGAGAACACACAGAAGAGATAGACACCTAAAAGAGATGCACACAAGAGCAGGTGAAGCTGAAGGTTTGCTACCCCTGGTTTGAGGAATCGTATTATCTTACATATTATGTGTTTAACATCCTTCCTCCTCCTCTTGTCTCTATCGTCCCCTTTGTGTTAAAATGCCACCGTGACACGCCAGCAGGGTTTCCGAAAACAGTGAGGTTATAGGCCGAGTTAATGTGCAGCTCAAAATATTTAAAAAACAAATTGAATATGCTGCTGAATCATTCCTGGTCCTGCCTCATGCATCAAATTAATATTTAGACAAGCATTAGCTTGTCTGCCATAGTAATCTGACCTTTCAAACCACTTGGTAGACCGTGAAGGGGACATAATAGCTTTCCTAAGCATGGAAAATGTGTGAGGGAGGGGTGTCTGTGGCTGGACAGATTCTGTTGTGTTTTAAAGGAGAGTTACATCAGTAAAGGACTGTTGAGCTGGGAGAGAGGGTGTCCCATGCTGTGAGAATATCTGAAACCAAGCCCAGCTCTCATCACACCTACAGGTCTGCCAAAACTGACTCACACCAGGACAGAGAGATTTACCCAATATGTTCAACAAAATAGTAGTCTTTGGTTTGCCTGAGGGACTGGATCGGCCTTCACATGTGTAAATCTAAAGTCGACACTGTCTCCTAGAAGGTACATATAACCAAATTGATTTCATAACTATGTTGTGGTGACCACCTATGAACCACAGTATAGTTAATGTGGTGAATTTAAGATCTTTAGCAGAGAATTGACCGAACTTCTCCTAACCTCTGGGCCAAGAAGCCAGCCTGCAGGTAATAAAACAATTAGGCCTAACTTAACACAAACAAATTAATTTAACAGTTATTCATTGATTTTCTACGGAAGCCCTAAAGGGCCATGCATTCATACATTATATTTCCTCCGTTTTCGCGTGATAACAAGTTAATTTTCTTGAGATCTCGAGATGACTGTGATATGATTACTGCGGTCAAGCCAGCCGTACTTAAATTTTGAGTATATATATATATATATATATATATTGTTATATTCTCAGCATTATGGTAATTGCGGAGAAACAGCGTATTCACTTCCGGTTTTCAAAATAAAGGTATTAAGAACAGTAAGCTATAATTCAAACCTACATTTAAAATAAAATATGTTACATTGAAGTGTTTCACATGCGCCCGTGGAATAAAAAAACATAATTAAAAATGCTTGATATTATATACTTGTAGTCTATATGTGTGAGTCAAATATACATCATACAGAATTATGAGAGCAAGGTATTTACAGTAGCTCAAATTATGGTCAAATATGAATCTGGAGGTATAATATGGATTTTGTTTTGGCATTTCTCCAATGGTGCAAGTAAAAGTGCTTGTATAAAGTGGTTTTTTATTCATCATGGGACGCATGAAACACTTCAATTATGGTATGTAATATACTATATACATAACACTGAAATTTAAGTGCAGTGATTTGAAGGCTGGCTTGACCGCAGATTATCATATCAAGTCCATTATCTCAAGAATCCAATTAATATATACGTGTATCTCGAAATACAAGTTTCGTTATCTTGAGATCTCGAGAAATTAATTGTTATCCAGGACACACAGAGGAAATAAATGTATACAGACATGCATGCCTTTAGGGCTTCCGTACTAAGCCTAGTACGGAAGCCTAGGTGTTGAAGATTGACTCGTAGATTTAAGCTACTTGACATCTCTAGTGAATGGAGCAAGTAGAGATGTCCAGTCAGATTCTGTGATATGGTCACAGATTTCCATGAAACACCAGTAACATTGACTGACATCTGTCAGCTCCAGCTAACATTACACTTCAGTTCCAAGTAGGAAACGGCAATAAGCTTACCCTTAGTATTATTTATCAACTGCAGGGGCTCATGAAAGGTGACTGTGATTTATTTTCTCTGAAATACAAGAGATGCATTTTCTATTCAATCACATACTGAAACACTCTTAACACATCACCAAACTATTGATCTTAAAGTGATATTCACATTCGTAATATTCATTTAACAGCCATTAATACAATGTGAGCTGTTAGACCAGAAAACAGGCATTTTTTAGTCGTTACTAAACAAAACGATCCACTACCTTATTAAAATCCAGGGCTCTGACCAGATGACTACATGCTAATTGCTAATTATGCATTCTGAGCTAACAGACTGCACAATTGGCTTGGCGTATTAAACACTGTCCATGCATTACGTCAGTGATTTGTGCAGTTTACAGCACAGAAGCAATGCCAGTTGATCTCCCAATGATCTCTGAAAACAAGGAAACATGTGATAGTGTTAAAATAAGAAGAGTAAACTATCTGAGGATCGTGTCATCTATCATCATAGCTACGATGAACAAAAGAAAACAACCATGCTTTTTCCTTATTCTATCATAACGTACATTCTAAGTTTATATTTAAATGTAGCTTAAGAAAGTGTGTCATTTCTGTATAAAAAATTAAAATAACTGATCTGGTAACATAACTGTGTATGTATCTGTCAGTGAAGGCCTCACAGGCTCTTGTGTGGATTCATGTGTGCAATCACTGCCATCTAGTGGAAAATAAGTGCAATACAAACAACAAATCCAATTTATTTCACTGAATATGACTGCTCATATCCTCAATATTACATGACATGATTTTGTGTAGGACAGATCAGAGGCTGATGATGTTGTGGGAGGAAATAAAATCTTTCTCAGCACAATGAAACATTTCACAGCTTAGCCGCCTATTGCACAACAGCCCGAGCCAAAGACACAAGAGTTTGGCTTTAGACAGCAAACAGTCCTGTTAGTAGAGGATTTCTGGAGTCACAAAAACGAATCTGTAACATCACAACCTGAGTGAGGTGTTATTAACTAATGATTATTACAGCACAGCACATGTTGCACAAATGAAACACTGACAAAGAGAGCTTGTATTGCTGCAGGAATAAAATGTCAGAGTCAAACTGAATCCATTTCTTTGTCTACAACAGCATTCTGCTAATTACTTAAACAAACACCATATTGTCACTTAATACAGCTTCTCTTCATATATTCATGTATTAAATCATATCTATGGTCATACTGACAAATGTGCACTGTTACAGCATACTGTAGAAGAGTGATAGTATAGCATTCTCAGTGTAATTACTGCAATACATTACACTAGAAATTATTGATGGTAAAATCAACTCCCACTCAGTGTTAATTGCTTTAGTGCAAATTTTGTTACAGTACAGTTTAACAAACATTTCCAGAGAGGTGTTTTTTTGCTAGATGATATTAAACAATATGCAAATATTGCAGTCATGTCATTAAACAAAAAATTTCAATCTTATGTGGAAATTATTTACAGATGCTCCCTTGTTAGCAAGCTGCACACGAATGAACATGTCAACAAAGACATAAAACCAGACTGGAAATGCATATATGCCATAAAATAGGTCATCCATATATTTTCTGTCTACATTACTAGACATATAAGCTACAAAAGTTATTCTCCATGTATGCACTACAACGTACAACGCAGAAGTGTCACATACTGAAAGTATCAAGAAACAGAACTCTGCATAAAGAAAGAGCCAGCTCCTCCACTGTGCATGTGTGTGCTTACATGTGGGTCTCAGTTTCAGTACAGCCCAGCAGGGGGCAGTGTTATCTGTTCCATTACATCACAAAGTCAGGGACTTTCACTCCATCTCTCTGATTTTTCAGTGCTTCCTACACATTGCACTACAGTCGGATTCAGGAGATTCATACAGAGAGGCAGTGGAACCACTGATGTGCTGCACTCATCTGGTGTCAATTACTACAGGCTACAGAAACTCTTCTTCTTTCACATACAGGATCTCATGGGCTGAGCTGGGAACCTGAGAGAGGGAGAAATAAGGAAGACATTGGTGGTAAAAGGTTGGAAGCATTTCCATGCAGTTACAGTGAATAAATAAGTGATGAGTGTTTATTAAAACTGCATTTCAGCACACCTCTTACCTCAATGAATTCCTGCTACTATTATACCATGGTTTGGGTGAATAC